GCACAAACATTAGTGTTAACCAATGGATTGAGGCATACCTCTCATCGAGTTCTTGCAGGCGGTTCTTGACTGTATGAGCGTTATTCTCTCGTGTCAGCCTCTGCAGGAGAAAGAAGGTCTGCTGGAACATGCGCAACAGGTACTCTTCAAAATCCATTGGAACACAGTTCTTTGACACAAGCTCATTGACACAGGTCATGGCGTATACACCGAGCCGGGCACGGTCCCCCTTAGTGCCCTCACTCTGCTGCCCGTTTCGTCCTCCTCCATTCGATGCTGGTGGCACTGTCCCAGGATTAAGCTGACCGTTCGAGCAGGAGTTTGAGGAGATGAAGGATCCTGGCTTCGCCTTTGTCCGAAGATCACAACCAAAACGTGCAAAATGAAAAATGGATGCCAGCAGGGTGGGTGTGATGCTTGTGGACAGAGGGATCCAGCTGAACAGGTGAGCCAAACACTCCAAAACAAGACAACAGAGCTGCTGACTCTCATTGTCCAATGCTGCCATGGGCTGGCAAAGCAGCTTCGAGTACTGACTGCCCTGAAACAAACTGCCCAGCAATTCCACTGATGGATGGAAGAGACAAGAAACGGTCTGGTTAACACACAACAAACCGCTCAATAAAATGCTCGCAGAGGTCAATGTTAGAAAAAACAAATAAGCAATAACTATTCAATGATTATCCCCACTTTACAAGCACGTCTTTGCAGTTGTATCTTAATAAAAGGACCATTCACTCACCACTTTCCCCTGAGGTGGGTGAGGGAGGAGGGGTGGAAGCTATGACACTGTGTTTGTCCCAATAGGTCTCCAGAATACCTGAAAAACAAGACGTGACAAGAACCCAATTATCGACATATACTGAAGGTTTTCAACCGAAACATTTGTTCTGACTGGTAGCCTGACTCCAAATTCAAATCTCATTTCTGTAGATTCTGAAAATTGGATTTGCTTTCAGGCTATCCTTTACATCCCTTGCACTGTTAACTCAGACTTCAGTTACATACACCCATGTGTGCATGTATCAACCAGTAGTTCTGACCTACCAGCAACTACAACCGGGATGAAATGTACATTTGGAAATCACTTTTGCACTAAGTATTAAAAGTTCTTCTCACCCGTCAAGAGTCCAAGCACTGTCGGTACCTGCTCCAGCAGAAGTTTACGCAACTCATCTTTCCTGGAAACACTCAGGTCTTCTCGAGGACACGCAAGTTCCTCCGATGTGGTTTTCAACATCACCAACCCCAATGAAGCCAGAGCCGGGGACTGGATCAACTGTGGTTTACAAGAGATTAACAGACAGTAGCTCTATCAATAAAGATTACTGAATTATATTTTGTAAATACTTTACACGTTACCAAACACTAAAGGTAGAACATTCACAATACATTGCGACCATATATCTACTAGACATGTCCAATCAGCTGTGATGTTACCCTTAGGACAGCCCCTTTCTTGGAAGGAAGAGGGACCTCCAATGTGGACTGTTATCTTTTTAAATGTAATCCATTCATTACTGTTCTCTGGAGCAATACTACAATGTTGTAGAATTTATTGTAGGTCATAATATAGCGTTTTGCACTTGTTCACATCCAGCCACATCCTCACAACATACATTGACTACTTTCTTTTTGGGAGACTGTAAAGAATACATTCTTCCAAACTCCCGGGGTTAAATAAAAAGAAAGTAAAGCTGAAAAAGTTTGAATAAATGTGACAGATGTGCAAACAGGTAAAGGGAGAGGGGCACTTATTTAGAGCATGTTCCCATAATCAGAGAACAATTGTTTAGTCCAACAGAAGCTATGATTTTGTGGTCTTGTTGTTATAATGCATCTTCTGTGTCTTTGTCAACTTTTGTTAAGTATTTAAGAAGATATCAAAAAGCAACTATTTACTGATGATTGAAGCGACAGCAGAAGGGCTTACCTGAAGGGTGTTTGTAAAGAAATCATGGTAAAACATTGGCCAGTCCTGGCGACCAATGTCCACAATGACTTTGCACAGTTTGTTACGGATGAAATAGGGCACCGATTTGTGCTGCGCAAGTAGGAGTTTAGGCAGACAGCTGCGAATCTCCATCTTGTCTTGTGAAGCAACACCGATCCACATCTTGTTCACCAGGTTCTGAAAGTAAAAGAGAACAATCGGCCGTCAAAGCTGTGTCTGAAAGAGACGTTTATACAGACAATATTTTACAACAGTTCTCAACATTATGTGTAATCAGTAACTCCTCTGAGTAATGATTAATTTATGAATAAATAAATGTTTTTTAACACAATAGTGCCCACTGAAAAACATTTTTACTAACACTTTCCACTACAAACCTAATGCTGCAAATGAAACACCTTCATTTAAGCATATACATATATCAGATATGCATTAAAAGTGAAAGTTTGTCATTGGGGTGACAGGATGTTTTGTTGTTCAGCCCATGCAACATGTATTACACATTATTTTTAGCTAACTTTTTTTTTTAGCAGAATTAAAGAAATGAGGAAACAAGAACAGTGTGAAAAAAAATGTTCTCAGCACTGCAAAACAATACCCTTCTCTGTGTACTCTCCTTTTTTCAAAGTATAAAAACCTCAAGGGGACTCTAGGCAGTACTCGTAACTGAAAATATGCATCTGCCACCACAAAGACTTACTTCAAATACTGTGAGGCTGTACATCATTACATACTCATTCCGAGTATTGGAGAGAAAAAACAAGCAGTGGCGCCACGCTCCCGTCTGCTGTGCAAAGTTATTCAGCAGCTCTTCTGCAGAAAAAAGGAAGTAGGCATGACAGAGGTACACGACAATGAAGTAGTTCACTTACAGACGGACTGAAAGTAATGCGCCACAGTACAGGAAGTGTATAAAAAGTGACGGAAGAGATACTTTTAATAGAAAGCAAATAATTCAGGTCACATTAAACACTCTACAGTGACGACTAAACCTATGTCAAAGTATACGGCAGTACACTTACCTATTTCTCTCTTTCGCTCATTGGTTGTGCAGCTGTGAAAGAACTCAGTCATAAGGCTCTCCAGTGCGCGCAGCGATGACTCCTCTGAAGCCTATTGGATGATAAAAAAAGGTTAAATACAAAATGAATTTGTTGACAAAGAATGACATGTTGCCCTGTTGTCTGATGTGAGGAGGAAACATTATTGATGTTAGTGTGATGTCAGTGCTTGCAGCCTTATCTACCATCTTGCTCAGGTGGGTCACCCTTAGATCCAGTGAGTTGGAAACTTACATCTTCACATCCATACCTATAGTTGGTCATTGAACACATATCACTGATTGCTGTGCATCTACTGGCATTGCCTCATGAAAACATAATTCACACAGCGTGGCAATTTTACAGTTCACAACTGCGATCTGACTTGCTCGTAAAGATTAGTTCAGCATTACTTCATTAGTTCAGGATTGCATGAGAATGTCAGTCTTGGGCATACAGGTCTTATCTAGTTGTAATCTCAACACTTGCATTATATCAATACCAGGCGTTGGTAGGTGGGAGAAGTAGGGCCCTGCCTAGCATAAACGAGATAGCAAATTGAGATTTTAAAGAGCAGCTCTTGTGGCAGGCAGGTCTGAATTCCTCAAATAAGCCACAACTTGCCGAGGCTCAACACTACTCGCAGCAAATGTTCCGTTTTGCAAGATGGGCGTCTTGTACCTTGAAATGGCTTAACGAGCTGTCACATCCCGTGAAATAACGTTACCTGGCCTCTCACAGACCGTTATATGGCACGGAGGACAGTAATCCATACAATCATACACTATTAACTACATGTAAAGACCTTTTAATACACTACAAACAACTTTGAATATTCCTGTTCAAATATATGAATCGAACCCTTAAGCACCCACGTTAGCTATTAGCAAGTAAGACAGGACGACAACGTGAATAACTAGCTTAGGTAAATAAGACACTTACAATGATACTTACCATGTTTAGTTGGCTCAGATGCTTTCTTCAGTTTACTTGTTCTCGGATTAATTACAGTAAGAAGACAACATGAGCTCTGTGGCTCGTCAATTCTGTAGCTAACGTTAGCTAAGGTGTTGCTGGCTAACGTAACCGCAGAGGGGGCTCTTCATGGTCTGTTCTCCGAGGTCGATTCTCAACACACAACGAGCTAGATAGCAACGGTTCTTGTTGACTTCACTTACAATCACGTTTAAGACTTACTTAATTTTACCTTGCTCGATTAAAACGCGTTTTCGCTACAGTTACTAAATTAACGTTAGGCTTACGACTGAATCATCCATCTCGTGGTGGTCAGTTGTCTGCATTGTCGTCTTAATTCCGTTTACCGTTTAGTTAAATATGGAATATTGTTTTTGCGGAACATCTAACGCTAGCTAACACCGGCTCCAGCACCGGAGAAACGTGCAACGGCAATTAGCTTTCTGTGTCAAGCGGTTCGAAGCTAAGTTACCCAGCTGCTAACGCTGCAGCGGATGGCTAACTCGCTAGCTCCTCTAGAAGGATGAAGACATACTTTTCGTTAGCTTGCTAGCTGTCAAACAGACATTATTCTATGGCTGTTGGTCACGACAACTTGCCTTTACCTTTTGTAATTTCAAAGCGGGTGAATATGCACACTTAAGTTATACATCTGACATATAATACAATTATATATACTACTACACGCGCTTGTTCCTGTTATTCCCCTTCTCAATGCTTAGGGCGGCTCAAGAATACAGCTAGCGTGCTGGTTACAGGGTTTGCTTCGCAACTTCCTCTTTAGCTGCAAAAATAAACCAAACCAATCAGCTTGTGTCAAATCGGTCACAATAATAAAAGCACGATCTCCGGTTAAAACCTTTTAAAATTGCCGCATTTTTTTGGCAAATACTGACAAAGTTTTTGAGTAACATTATGCAAAAAAATGTAAAAAGTAAGCAACAGTGACTTTTAAGTGAAAGCACTTCTGCTTACTAAAAAACAAATTTACGTTTATATATTTACGTTTATATATTCTTATACTTAAAAACAAATGCAAAATGCTCATATAATATTGTCTTTCTGCAGCGTGGAAACGTTTACTCCCTCAAAACTGATTATTATCTACAGGACCTTTCAAGCATGATTACACAATTTGAAGAATCTGTACCTCTAAGCACATTTAGATTTCTCTCCCCTTTTTGCCTTTTACATAACATACAGATTAATGCTGTTACTTGTATCCTGGAAAGACGTGGGTCGTGAAGTTAATGCAGCATTTTGTTTAAATAATTTATTTTAAACAATATATTAAAACAATGTTTATTCAATGTAAACCCATATTGAATGTCAGCCAAAGTGGGATTTCACCTAAATGCTACACACACGTTACCTGAATTAAAGTGACATGGTACATGAGAACGGGCAATGTATAATACATAAATAGATAAGAGCAATTCATTTTGTTTGTTTTTGTTGTTGAAGAAACCATCACAGCAAGGTAAAAACTAAAAAATCTAGAGAAAAAGCATCAGTTATTGTATGTACTCTTTATACACAATGGGCCTTGATGTTTTTTTTAGTGTTAAAATCTGTTTGTGAGACTGGGGCAAAACACTAGTCACCTTTCACATCCAGAGACTGGAGAGACACATTCCACACTAGCTGAGGTAAAGACATTTCCACAGCACTAAGTGCCTTTGAGCGTCACACATTAATTTTGTGTTCATCCTACCTGTAGAAAACTAGCTGCATCATAGAATCCAAAATGTCCTCTGAAGTTGTCTAATTATATATAGGCCTGTATAAGAAATATTAAGTAATAATAACAATAATAATAACAATGACTAAATTCAATAACACTTAAAACATAAAATAATGTTACCATCATAGAGTGCAAAAGACTATGAACATCCAAGTAGCTTCAAGTGGATCCTTTCTCTTTGGTTAGTTCATTGTTTAGGTTGCTATCCGTGAGCTTGCCATTTTTCTTGAAGGTGTGCTGTCTTTGTGCTTGCATGCTATATGCCCAAGCTCTGTCCACACCATGTCCCTCAATCCTGCAGGGTGTCCAGTCAGGGAAGGGAAAACGACCAGCTACCACTAAGGCATCATCAGGAAGCTCAGTCTGCAACTTCTGCTGCAGTAATGAAAGCTAGGAACACAAGAGCACAGTAAAACATTACTGTATACGTCAACAGAAACTTACTGAAATTGACCCATGATAATGAATCTAAACCATGTGCTGAAATATTATTCTTATGGAATAATTCTTATGAGATGGTCTTTATTCTTGTTTATATTGGTTCATTATATTACTCACCACACTAGGAGCCAGAAATACTGTGACATTTTTGCATTCTGTCAAGTCGACCTGTGATGAGATACAAGGTAAGTTGTAAATAGGCCACTTTATTGACAATTTATCTTTAGAAAGCACAAATACAACAATCACATGCAAAAAAAAACAGTGCTTTTTCAGTACTATTCAAATGGAAGAATAAAGTTACGAAACTCCTTTGTCAGCAATTTAGATGGAGAGAGTTAGACTGTGTTGTTCTTGCATTTCTTCTAGGAGTGGGGACATTTCTAATCCAACTATCATGTTGTTGCAAACTACAGTAATATTGTGAAATCTTGCCAATTTGAACAGGAGTGTTACTAATGCCATACTACAAGTGATAAATGTCAAACCTTCCAGAGATCTTCCCGTCGGTATGACACTTCGTCATGATGGCCTGCTCTCCAGGCATGAAATTTGGCCAGGCGAACAAGCCATGGGTTGAGCTCATAACCAACAGCAGGAGTGAAACCCTGCCGATGTGCTTCCAAGACCTCGAGGGTTAAAAATGACCACGGTCAAAAAACATTGCCAACCAGCGCAAGAAAAAGGAGCCAAAAAAACGTGCATATACTTACAATGCGGCCATCACCAGATCCCAAATCCACAAGGCCTCCCTTTCGACCTCTAAACATTGTTATTACATGATCTACTTGAGCTTTGCTGGCAGGAATGTACGGGACCTAGAAGACATTTAAAAGAGCTTCAGATAAAAACAATTGTTGTACAGATTGTACAAGAAGAGTTACATTACGTAATTCAAAGTGTTATGAAGGTGTAGAGACCATACCTGTTGCCTCAAGGGGACTTTTCGGAAGCCTGGCTGGACTATTCCCACCCATATGGCATATACAGTAAGCCCAGAGGCAGCTGCTATCTGAGCAACACCCCATCCTCCGAGGGGCCTCGTCTTGAAGTCAGCCAAGGCCTCATCGGGTGCATCATCATCCATTCCTGCATGAAATGTGTAGTTTGGGGTTTAAACTTCAGAAAATATACCATCATTTACAAGGAAATGGGTGTAGAATATTTATTCTTTTCATTGTGTGAAATTTTATATTCTGTGGCAAAGGGGCTTGGCCTTGAAAAAACAAATATCTATAATCTCACTCCATTCATACAGTATACTGTACTCCAATTTGGTGGACTGGCTTGGTGATTGCAGGCTATACCTTCTATTATTACTACATAATGTCCCTTGTTACTTTTTGCTTCAATGGGTTGTTTTTTGTTTACAATCCTCTTCCTCTAACCCTAACTGTAGATGCAATTTTACGATTCGAAGCTGTACTGGTATAGAGCATGTGCAGAAGCATGCTTTAGTCACTGCCTTGTGCAATTTATTACATTTCACCTCAGTTTAGAAACATTTGATGACAATAATGTGTAACCTAGGAGATAAAACAAAAACATAAAAAATATGAATTACAAAAATATATATTAATCATTCGTTTAAGCCATTTTGATCCAGCCTATAGATGAAATGTAATGTTGATATTTTGAGATATCATTGACAGACGGGTTACGTGCAGCAGGTTGAGGGTCACGTGCATACAGTTATTATTTTGTATCCAGACGATGTCTGAGTACAGTAATGACACATTTATTAGCAACAGCATAACATAATGCTGCCGTACTCACACAAACACGCAACAAATGTGCGGCCATTGAAGTAATTAACAAGAAATATCGCAATGACCTGAAGGAGTGCGTGCGGAGTACAGATGTTTGAGGAGAACGGTAAAGACGGAGCGGTCCGTCTGCGAAATAGTCCATATATCCAAGAGCCTTCTTACATTCGTTCCGCACACATTTCCAAGGGTAATTTAGGTAAAGTTAGAAAGATATTGACAGATTCGGACTTCCCGGTTCAATAAATAGTTAACGAAACGTTGCTAAAATACAAACGATACCTCCCTGTAACCGTAGTGAGGTAGACAACAAGCTACAACCTTAATTTAATTAAAACGGGCCGTCTTACGGACTCCTCCGAGCTGGACAATCTGCATTGGTCTCAATGAGCGGCCGGCTGCGAGACGAGTGCGCAGGGACCGTCTACAAAGTGCATTGATATATGAAGTGATTTTGGTCATGCTACACTTATCAACAGTAAAGCTATTGATTCTTATTTTTAATAAATATTCACTAAAATTAATCTAAATCATTTATTTTCAAAATAACACTTGTAGTACAACAAGGAGGAGCCCATTGATGTGTGAAGTGATTTTGGTTACACTACATTGCATGACAGTGAAGCTATTGAATATTGTTGTAGTAGGTATTTTCCGCATTGCACTTTGTAGACGGTCCCTGCGCACTCGTCTCGCAGCCGGCCGCTCATTGAGACCAATGCAGATTGTCCAGCTCGGAGGAGTCCGTAAGACGGCCCGTTTTAATTAAATTAAGGTTGTAGCTTGTTGTCTACCTCACTACGGTTACAGGGAGGTATCGTTTGTATTTTAGCAACGTTTCGTTAACTATTTATTGAACCGGGAAGTCCGAATCTGTCAATATCTTTCTAACTTTACCTAACCCCAAGGGTAACGATATAAAAGTTGTGTGGCGCAACTCCGAATTTCTGAAAAGATTATAATTTGCTCTTCGCCATTTTTTCTAGTGCATTACTTTGCCGTCTGGTCCCTGTAATTACTTCTATGTCCTCTGCCTGTTTTATATGCATTTTGTAGTTCGATCAACACTCTTTATGCTTTCATTCCCTGGCAAAAATAAAATAGTTGTTCCATAAGATCACAATAGCTTTATTTGAAATATAACAAACGTTCATTTACCATAACAATACCTTATTTAACATTTTTTTCCCCAAAAGGTTTAAGGAATACTTTGTAATGGTATCAAAATAATTTATTAACACAAGTCGTACAAAAAAAAGGGAATGCCCAAATCCAAATGTCGTCTTGACAGAGCACAAGAGAAGACGTCTCCGTCAGTTGCTCTCTGCATCATCACTGATGATCCCATGCAGGTTGGCCCAGTCTGTAGCTCTCCTCTGCCCTCTGGTTGTATTGTTTTCCTCGTCACTATCAGAGCCAGAGTTCAGAGAGCGCAGGTATGTAGTGGACGGAGGGCTACGTTGTTCCTGCCATGCTGAGGCTCCTCTGCGTTTCGGTCGACCTGGGAGAGGTTTCCATATTATCTTCCGTGGTAAATATTTTCACAATATTTATATAAATATAACAAATATAGTATGTGTAGTTTGATATTGTTTTGGATGATGGAGAGTTTTCTATTTGAGAAACTAGCAAATGTTTACAACTCTTCAAACCATTAATTTAAAAGATTATTGTTGTTATAATGCCAACTATGTTAACAGTCACAGTGCGTACGCATCACATTAACAATGTTACCATCATTTCCCCCACCAATATCCTATAACTGCCAAGCCCAATGCAGTTATACTTTTTTGCTTATCTAGAACTAAAGTGATCAAACTAGATTTCCCTGTATTGATTAGAGATATGCACAATAAATAAGCCAACAAATGGAATTTACACAACTTGAGGGGAACACACAGCAAAATTGTGCACTTTTCTTGGCAAGTGAATTATTGTGAGAAACTTAGAAAAACTAAACAATGACTCTCTTCCTCCAGAAAACCACATTATTGATGGGTGTCAACACTCAAGAAAAGAAACAAATAGTTACCTTTTGTGGCAATGATGTTGCCGACATCGAGCTCAGCTAGTTCCTGAGATTCCTCTCTCTTCATTCTGACTTTTTTGCATTTCATAATAGATGGCTGACCTGTGAAAAATCACACACACACACACACACACACACTATCACTTTAACCAATAGTTCCCAGAGTTAAACTAATTAAAACAGTTACATTTTTACACTGTTCACAGATGACACACTGCAGTTTTACAAACTGATAAACATACAGTCTACTGAAGGTTTTTGTTTTGGGCTCATCTAATATTATTTTTTAAGCACAATAAATCAAAACAATCTGACTGTATAGTAGAAATTATGACAAATATAAAAAAATGGGGAAATTAAGAACAAACTACAGCGGCAGGTGCTTGGTAAACATCTTGGCAGCCTGAACAGTTAGATCATTTTGTGTTTGTTGGCCTTCTGGTGACACAACAGAACATAAGGATTTGTTTTCTGGAGGCCACAAATATCCCCTTTACTCTTTCACCACTTAGAATCTACTGGAAATACATGCAAGATACCTTATAATGGGCAAATGTAAAAAATGTAGCAATTATGCCCAGAATGTGTGGTCTGTTGAAAGGTGAATGTATTCCCACTGACCATGAACACCAAGACCTTCAAGCTCCTTCTTCAGAACAGCCACCTGGGAGCGAACAGAGCGACAGCCATCGAGGAGCTTCTTGTAGTTCAGCCTCACACCACACAGAGAAATGTACCGCTTGAGCCTCACAACAGCTTTGTCGTCATCCTGCAGGACGAATCCGAGGACAGACAGGTTGTGAAGAGAAGATGTGTTAACCCTACAGACCCTACAATTACATACACAGGCGTTCTGGCTCTCCCTTTCTTTCTACTATTCATCTTAGACTTTGTCTCTTGACTCCATTCAAAACACAGAGGGTGATCAAAAGAATTTCGAGGCACCTTTACTCAATATAAAGGGTTGGACAGACTTCATTAAATGTTTACAAAGCTTGATAACACCACTCATAGGCTCACCTTTTGACTTCTGGCGCTCTTCTCCTTTTTCTTCGGGGCTTTCTTCTTTTTGTCATCTTTTGTTTGTTTTTTCCCACTATGCTGTTCATCCTCCAATGAGAGGAGTGACGATGAATCCGAGTCTAAGTCGGTATTTTTGTGTTCCACCGAGACTTTTTCTTCTGCATAACACAACAAAAAGTCATATCAAGTCATAACAAAACGTGAAATTAATGAACATTGAAGTACTGGATATGCAAGTATAAAGTTGCAGTCACCTTTTTCGCCGTCGTCTGAGGAGTCATTGCCGTTGATTTTGTCACTCTTTTCTGACTTGCTCTCCGTGTCCGTTTCCTTCTCTTCCTCTTCATCACTCTGTGGTGTTTTCTTTCCTTGACTTGTATTGCTGCTTCTTTTCCCTCTATTCTTTGTAGCATTCGCTCTCTTAATCACCACTTCTTTTGGTTCATCCTCACAGTTACTCTCGTTCTTATCGTTTTCTTCTTCTGACTTATTAATTTCCTGATCTGTTGAGTCTTCACTACTTATCTGTTGTTTACTGTTTGTCTTTCGCTGGGATTTTTTCACCTCTTGCTCTGCATCCTCAGATTCAGATTTAAGTCTCTCTTCTTCTTCACTCTCACTTCCTGTTTTGCAGTCGTCTTCGTGCGCCGATTCTGTCATGAACCGCACAAGAAAAGACAATGGTTTACAACGGAGCAACAACACTCACTGAAACTAGAATTACAGCCTCGCGGTGGTGTATTAAAGATTTGTGAGAAATTGTCCTAATAAGCATATTCATTCTTGAGTTATGACCAAAAATGTGTTTTGTTTTGATTTCTTGCAGCTCTAGTCCTACTGTTGATGATGGTCCAGGACATTTTTTATTGAGTAACTTTAGAGTAGAACATGCTGTGGAAGCTTCAGGCATCTAAACGCATATAAAAGACCAAAGGAACCTACCTGATGACGAGTTTGACTGACGACGGGATTTCTTTGCCGTCGACTCTTCTTCATCATCTTCGTCTTCTTCCCCACTTATCACTTCTTCCTTTTCTTTTTCTCTCTTCCTTTTGTGTTGGGGCTTCTTGCTGGTCTCCAACTCACTTCCATTTTCGTCATTGTCCTGGCAGGAAAAACAAATCGAGCATAATGAGAGTAAAAACTACAAAACTAAAAACGACCCCCCCCTCCCCTACAGAAATCTAAAACACTTAAAGAAACAGGATGTGTAGGAAGAATTCAGAAACCTGCATTTTCATCAGTTCCTCTTCAACCACCTGTCTCATGATATTTCTGGCTTCTGGACCTAATGATTCACATCGCACATGAGCCAGATATCGCCTTTTTAAAATCCGTAAGGTCAGCGTGCTGGAATTAGAAATGATAAAGAATACATCATGGTGTGTGAGAGAGAGGTTATTCACAGCAACAGGGAATCAATTAAAGCCTTTGTGTTTTTGAACACAGAACAGACATACATCTAAAAACCGATACATACCCACACCATACTGATTCTAAATCAGATGAAGTCAGTACCAGACAAACCACAACATGGTCTGCGTCAGATGTGCGTATTGAGTTGTCTTTATGAGAAATGGCGCATTAAAGTAACAGCGACTGCAATGTTGCCATTAAATGCGCAACATGCAGCTGGTTAGAACTAACTGATGACCCTGGGGTGAGTTAACAGGTAACGTTATATGCCCGTGTGTGTTACTGTTAACTGCACGTAGACCAAAGTTAGCAACATTAACTGTCAACAAAAACGCAAACAATCGGAGCGCACAGACCTGTGTACTGATTCTCGGTACAAACAACACTCAAACACTCTTAAATGCTTTAACAATACCTGAGGTTCGGCTCATCGCGAAGCTGACCACACACAAACTTGCGGATAGCCTTCGCCTCTTTCTCTGACACCATCATTACTGGCTTTGGAGGTTTCTTTTTGGCGGCAGCGGAGACCCCAGGAAGTTACCGGAAGTGACATCAGACCAGACCAGACCAGACCCGTGCCACGCCCTGTCAAAATAAAACCTATAAACCCAAACACTCATAAATATATTCTCTAGCGTTTTTCTCATGGTAATACCTTTATTTAGTCTTTTCTTTAATGACCAATATGTTTCATAAACACTCAAAATGTCATAGCAACAAAGAACTTCTACACGATTATTACATTTTCTGAAAAGATTTAGAATTTATTTTTATTTTATTCAGTGTGGCTTTGTGGCAAAGCACACTGTATATTATCCATCGGGTTTAATCATAATAATAATAATCAGGTTTATCCAAAAGTTTGCCTTGCTTCTCCTCACACAGCGTTGCCAACAGTGGCGTGAAAAATACATCAAAACGTGCGGCCTGATCGGGAATAGTGTGCATTCTATTTTCCGGAGAGATTCGCCCAGCGGTTTTCCCGAAAATTCCCGAAAATCCCCAAAAACTGAGCAAAGTTTCTCCATTCACTAGAATGGGGTTGCGGCGTGAAGAGAGCTAAAAAAAACACTTAACTTTGGGCCCATATTGACGAGCCGTACATTAACGTAGAAACATGATTCAAAGTTTAAAACGTAGACAAAACGCTGCACTGTATTGAGCCAAATGGACATTTTGATAGCTAGCACAGTTTTCATGAAGTCACAGATTAAGTTTCAGGAAAATTTTGGGTCTGTTTCAGATTTTATAATGGGTGTGTATTGCACGGCTCGTTAAGAGCTAGAGTGAGAGCCTAACCGTCAGAGTGGAGCGGAGCAGGAAAATATGCTGTGATTTTTCCAAACAAATTGCTCTAGCTCCCACAATGTTTACTCTTTATACACCATTTTTGGCCAAAAAGCTTGGAAATGTTGTGCTGTCGCACACAGATGTCTGTGGAATCCAACGGACTTACACATTTGGCTCAAAGAGCCACAGAGCGACATGAACTCCAACCAACTGCTCCATTAGACTCCATGTTAAATCTGACCACTCATTTCTCAAAGAAAGCAGATGGTACCAGTTTTGCATATTGCGCTCGAGCTCACATTTTTAAGACCACAAACATAAAAAACACATCTCCGCGTTTGCCAGAGTCTTATCTCTCTGACGGTATCCATATTTTATTGATTAGTCTCATGGTTTTGGTATAGAGGGCATATGTTTGACAGGTAGTTTTGTTGGAAATCACTGGTTACTCTCTCTTAATTAGCCTCTAACACACAGGTGCTCCAATCACCAACATGCACCCAAGCACACAGGTGTTTATATGAGCTCATTAGTGATGTTGATAAACACACAGGCACTGAGACACACACGCACGCACACACACTCCTCTCCCTCCCTCTCTCTCTCATACAGTCATTCAGGTCTTGGAGACTTTTAGACTCCCCCCCATTTTAAAATAAAAGCCTATAACTGTCTGTCTGCCTGTCTCACTCTCCCACTCACTCAGTCCATCTAACTGTCTGTCTGCCTGTCTCACTCAGCCTCTCTCTCCTCTCTGTCTATTTTTCTGTCTCCCTCTCTCTCCCTCTCTGTGTCTCTCTCTATCATACAGTCATTCAGGTCTTAGATATTTTTAGAGGACTTTTCCCCTCTCACCCCCCTCCCCCCCATTTCAAATTAAAAGCCCCACAGAATGAATTCTAACTGGAATGCTTGTGATGAAGCCTCTCATTTTAGTGTCAAACATTATGATTCTATCTCCTCTCCCCCTCTCTCACCCACCCAGTCCCACCCTTTCAAAATAAAAGCCCCACAAATACAAGATTCAATCCAAGAGTATGAATCTAAAATGCAGAAAAGAGAGTAGCGCTATCTCAATTGAACCTGAATGACACTACCGGTAACATTGGCGTGTGTATATATTGCGATTTCTTCGGGCAGTAGACGCCACTGTCAAAATTTCTTTAGGAATTTTCGAGTTAATATTATTGTGCAAATATCTATTAATTCAATGTGTCACAGTGCAGCGGTAAAGAGGTAACATCTTGACTTCCATGTAAATAGGGTACAGTATTGTTGAACAACATCCAAATAATTCATGCCACTGAATTGAGCATCTGTTAAGATTAACTTCTTGTGAAGTTATAAAGTCTCAAATTTCTTACCAGCAGTTTAAATAAATGAAAAGTTTGGAGCATATTAAGTAAACACAGTAAAACATATCTTGCGGGTAACTTCCATTTGTTTTCTGTCAACATTTATGTTTTTAAGTAGAGTTATTTATTGTACTATTTTGTAGGAAAAAATAAAAACCAAGAAGCTTCAGTTTGATTTCACAAGTAATTTATTCAGAACATTCCCATGACCACAATAGGACGGAAGTCATATTAGTGCATATTTGAAGGTATTCTAAGGTGATATTATTAAGGGTCCGAGATACATATTGCTCTCATTCAATGTTTTTTTCCCCCCAATATTCAGAGAGATTAGGTTTACTCAAAACACTGGTGAATATCAGAAAGAAAATGTGTATCCTCTCCCCGGAGGGAATACAAATAAAACCAAGCATTAACTGCCTATCATCACTGTATGGCCAATCACCTGCAGCAAATTTCAGTGGTTCAGTATAAAACATAAAGCGAAAGTGAAAGATCATGGCTCAGAATAAAACACAATATCAAAGAAATGATCAAGGTTCCTCATGAAACATTAAACTGAAATGTAAGTACACTATTTAGTCATTTACAGGAGTAAATTAAAATCTGGTGTGTGCGCCGTACAGTGAATCATATCATTCCAACAATTTAAACTCACTTGAGCACTAGTTAACACAAAGATTGCATACAATACAAAAGTTAAATACCAAACAATAAATTAGGTTCATAAATTAATTAATAAAAACATCTTGAAGCAACAGCAGTAATAATTTAAATAAAGAAAATGGAGCTGCTCAACAATCTCATTCATAGACAACCTTCCTTAAACGGCTACCCAGTTTTATTCCAGTGTTAACATATCTAGGCTAAGCTTGACCATCCTCTGTTCATTACTGCCAGGCAGCAGATCAATCCAACGTATGAACAGGCCACCGATGTTTCACACCCTGAATAAACAGACTGACAGTGTTTCCTATAAGTCAAACAGAGGAGGGTGCCAGTGCATATCATTAACACCCACTCTAACAGGTGGGGTGGGAGATGGGCTTTTAGGCCCATTCGGTAACTCACAGGAAGTTCCTTAACATTTGAAAAGCAATACTTATGCCAGTTTCACGTCCCAGGTAATTTTACACATTTCCTATTTAAATAATGTACACAATTTGTTTTCTTGTAAACAGAAGCATTTTTGATGTCCAAACAACTCTTACTTCAGTTACAGATCAGTCATCGACTCCTACATTTCTGTGCAGTGACGTATGAAGATATTTGAACGACATAACTAGCTACCAAGCTATTGCTATGATCACGGACATCTCTTTCATTCTGGCAATCAAGAAAAAAACAAACGTATATAAATTCACTCTCCCGAGCCTCGTGTTTCACATTATTAGTCCTTATACACAGTTTGCTGACCGGGCCCTCTTTCATCATGCATAATATGCCTCCTTACGTGGATCCGTCTTACTCGCCTCTCGCCTCCCGTAGCTCCCTCTTCCTCTGCTCCCAGTGATGAAGCCGAGCCTCTTGAATCTAAGAGGTGTAAGCCTCCTGGACCAGATCCTCTGCCATTCTCGTAAATGAGGATATTGAGGGTCTCTTCAAAGATTCGAGCCTCAGGAAACTCAACCTAAAAAACAATCAGTTGAGATTCCCCATCAGAGCAGTAACATTAATATGTTCACTATAATAGCTGAATATTATTAGCAATAATAAAGTACTTTGAATACAACAATGCTATTTTAAAAAATACACCTATTTGGCTTTCTGACGTAGAGTTAGATGGGAGAGTCGATATCGCTCTCTAGCTGTCTGTTAAATACAAAGCTAGGCCTCATCCCAATGCCTTAAACCCAGAAATGCAGACTCAGGGAAAGGGTTCATAAAGGGCTCATAATGTCAGGCAAAGCTAGCCTCGCTCTGTCCCAGATATGTGTTAGTCAATCATCTTTGGAGGTGTTTCCCATCTTTGTGCTAAAAATGCTCCAAGGACTTGGTGTATGTAATGCTTACTTTGGTCTGCTTCTTCTCTGTGGCGTAGACAATGGAAGTGCAGCATACTTCGGCAATCTTGCGACCTTCACCATAGAAAGACCAACAGCAGATCTCATCCCCAAGCACATCTTTGACGAACAGGACGCGTCCATTAAATCGTAGCACCAGTTTGTCAAACAGTTCAATGTTCTTCAGCAGGTTATCGTCAGAGTTGCTGGTCACAGGGGAGAGGCAATGAGGAAGTAAATATAAAGTGAGAAGATTAATAAGCACTTTCTCATCAAACTCCAAATAATGAAAGCTAAAAAGAGAAGGTCAAGTGAACACATGAAACACTGATAGTTTGTTCTGGATGCATCTTGTTCCTCATATTGTTTTTCATACTCTCTGTAGGACACATGCACGGTCAGCCTTATTCTTTTACCTGGTGTAAGAGTATTTGTTGTTTCCTCTGTTGTTCTGCAATTTTACTACCGGCTGTAGAGACAAGAAACTAATTAATCCAAGAACATATGTAGTCTATAAATACAACATTGTCTTCACAAACTGTGTGTACATACAATTAAAGAAATACTGATAAACATTTCCTTGAGAAGAAAACAAAGACAACAACAATTTTCATTTCTAAATCACTTCAAACCATCTATTCTTTTTAATTCTGGACAGATAAAGAGTTTAACCCTTGGTACACAGTATCTGAACACTTTTGTCAGTGGTTTATTTGATTGAGATAAAATGCAATTTACCTTTCTACAAGTAGCAATCATCTTCTGTTCTTCTTTGGCTGAGGTGATCATGGGGATGCGACACACAGTTTCAAAGACATCCTTTTGTTTCTGAAGGTAAACAGAAAGAAAGTACAATAAAATACATCGGCACTTGTTTGGAAGTATCAATGAATGAACTTAGTGGATACAATGTGAAACACCCTTCATAAAACACCAGGGTCTAAAGTAATGTCTTTAGGTTTCTCGTTTGGTCTGCCAAAAAGCTATTTACCTGCATGGCACTGAGGCAGTGCTGGACCAGTCCCTGGACCCGATAGTACTGGGCCTCCTTCAGGACCTCATCCAGTTCTTTGTGGTCCTCCGGAAGTGGCACTGAGCCATCTCGCAGGAAGTTCAAAACAAGTCCAAAATGTCGGCCACACCTATCCAAAACTACCCAACCTGTGCCAGCAGGAAAACAGATTTTCAGCTATTTGCAATCTTCAGTAATCTTAATTACTTTTTGTCGTAGGCTAATGGCCCCAGTGTGCACCCAGTCGTTTACTATGGAAACAGCTAGCATAGACACACCTTTCCTATACAACCAGTACTATAGGCCACACAAGATAAAGTTAATATCAGTCAGTGCATAGTTGCCTTTATTGTATAAATCATGTTTTACATCTGAATAAAATACTCTGTGATAAAAGTGTAAGGCTTAAAATGTAATCCTGATGTAAAACTAAAGTTTTGTCAAATTAGAATTCATATAAATTCTAAACAGGGCACCTGAAATAAGTATGATATTAAGGCATGAGGAATCATATTGCATACTGTAAACATTTCTGATATCAATGGCACAGCCTTCAAGACATTCAACAATAACAATGTGGATCCAGTGAAAGTGTTAGTGCTCATCAGACAGACGCATCCACTCACCTTCTGAGTCTATGGAAACCTCTGTTCCTCCATCGCATATGCTCCGCAACAGACTGTCTTCCTTGCTTAATGTCTGAACAGTTGTATAATGTAGTGAGCCACCCACATTTAATTTGACATACTTGCTCCCCAGAAGACCTCGATTGCTAAACTCATCTGTGTTGTGGAAGGCAGGCTGGGAAACAGCAGACTGGGCAGAGTCAGCAGCATGACTGCCTACTGAAGCCTCAGCAGACATGGGGCTGAAGAGTCACTTCCTGACTGTAATACAGAAGAATATGATGGCTTGTTAGTGTAGGTTTGGGCTAGAACAAGTGATGACGGATTTTATATTCATGTAATTATTTCAGTTTTCTCTTAATTGACAAATGTGAGTAAACCATGTATAATGGCTGAATCTGAAGTACTCGTTTGTTGTTTTATAGATAAGGACGTGGTTATTTGTATTCACGAAAGCAGCAGAGACCAGATGTGGTAAAACATCCTAAAAACCAGGGCAAAGCACACTGGAAAATAGATAATGATTATAATGGCTGGGGATATGGATGTAAAAAGCTAATTATAGTGAGAACATTTGAGCAAGAAATTGAGAGATCACAATATATCCTTTGCTGTTATGAAAGCTATTTTGCTATTTTTAATTTTTTTTATCTTAAGCAAAGATGGGTGGTAAATGCTGCCCAGAAGCACATGTTTTTCAGCATTGAACTTTATGGAAATTGAGCTGCTATTTTCGTGGTCCTCACAGATCATCTGACTTACTGAAGAACCCTCTTTAATACAGATGTTCTACCACACCCATTGTGTGTCCTGTACTTAAAGACATATCTTTTGTTCTCTAGAAATTTGACAAAATACCCTAAATGGACATTAAATGTCCATTTTAGTTCCAAACTACAAAACAAGTATAATCCAACTACCTAGTAATGACTAGGTCCTTATGTGTAAAGTGCATCAGTTGACTGCCAAGCTTTTGACACACCTCATCATAGTGGGATAAAGGAAGCACTGTTTCAGAACATTATTCTTTAATGTAATAAACATAAGCAACTTGCACCTAGCCGTCCTGAAACTAACTGTCTGTTGTCTCCCAGCAGTGTAACAGCCACCTACAGCTGGACATTACTAACACCAAAGTCAGGTGTCAACAGAATGTTAGCAACAACAAAGCTAGCTACAACCACAAGCACCGTTACCTCAAACATGACTGAGATCTAGTTAATTGTTGAGATAGATGCTAACTGATAAGGCTAAAACATTCAAATAATATGAAGTTAGCTTGTACCAACGTGTACTTACCACACTGAACATCCAAAGGAGCTGCAAGAGTGAACCTAGCCAACGTTGAGCCAAGATAGCTAAATGTGTAAGCGTTAAATCAGCTAGCAATCGATACTCAGCTAGCCAGCTAATACTAACACAACGCAGCTAACGTTTGACAACTCATTTTAATCGCCGACAGCCTAGCTAGCTCAATCAAAGAGGCTAACAATAGCTAGTCTATTTAGCTATGCTTTAAGCTAGTAACGCTCATTTATTTTTGAATCGCTTCTTGGGTGAAAAATGTGAAGCTTGCCATCAAAAAATGATAATTGCTATTGTAAGAATGGACAGTTCCATTGTAGGAGATACAGATTATTAACTGATGCTAACAGAAGAAGCTAAGTAGTTAGGTCACTCGGAAACGAAACTCGCACATCCTCTTCCGCTGCTTTCTTCTTCTACTTCGTGTTAAACAGCAGCCTGTGATGCCCATTAGCGCCACCTTGTGTACAGTAATATCAGTATAAACGTTTTTTATATTAATTTTTAGTTATAACTATATAAGTATAACAAAAGTTACATTTGACCAATCCCCACATTTTCTGTTGAGGAGATCATTCAATCCTTCAAATAATGTTCATTTAGCACCAAGTGGGATGAGACTGACCTGGATGTACCTGGAGTCACAGGTGTTTACTGCCATCTAGTGGTCACAGGGAGGAATGTCAATATTAAATTCGTCAAGGTAGCGTCAACATCTATGATGCAGGCATGACCACTTCCGATAAATATAAAAATAATGTGGCCATACTGAAACAATCAGAAATCAATTTACAGAAATGATCGTGAAATGATCATGCTTGTTATCCTGTTTTGGTCACTGTTGATCAACAACTTCACACTCTTCAGGGGGAATAACACAGATGTTTAATCTGATCTTTCATTAATCTTTAGGGGTATCCACAATGGTTTTCAAAATCAATCAAAATCAAAGTTTCAATGTTTGTTAATATCATGCTAACACTTGGAATAATGATACACAAACATTATCATGGATACTTGAAGATAAATTATCATTTCCAAATCAAATTATTGGTGTATTTTCCTCCACTTTGTATTTTAATTTAATGTCCTTGTCTGTTAGACATGAAGAAAATAGGCAAAGTAGAAAATGATCTCTAAAATCACCCTCCCATTGTGATTTTTTTTCTTCCATTGGACGAGTTGTATTAGTATCAATACAGTGCATGTTTTGTGTGCAGACAGATGTAGATGTTGTTATTTGGAAAAAAATATATTGCAAATTTTTACAATTTTTACACCATTCAACAGAAACTTTATTTCCAATTCAGCAAATAATTGACTGCCTTCAAAAGAGTGTATTCATATATGAAGCAAAGAAATGCTACTGATGATAAGAGAATAATTAAGTCTACAAAGCAACAGTCTCCTTCATTTGGCACAGAGAATGAGACTACATTCACCGTTGAAACAATCAGTTGTAAATAAATACATAATGCATCACAGCAAGCAGCCAAATTTGTAATTTTTCATCAACATAGTGCATACAACATCAAATCTGATAACAATGATAACTGTCAATAACTATAATGATAATGGCAAGATTGAGCAGAAGCAATATAATTTACAATCAGTGCATGCTCTAAGCATAATGACATTCATGTCCTCACCTTTACCTTATGTGTCATGTGACACTGGGTGACGATGCACTCCAGAAACAGCGAAGAATAAAATAAACTGCCTTTGTAAACAGTATTGCAACAACAGATGAAACACGTAGGGACATTCAATTATTCAACATTATATTTTGGCACTGAATTTTCATTACATGTATAATGAAAATATATAACCTTCCGTCACCATGTATAATTGTATATATGAGGCTTTTATATATAATTTAGTATATATATCAACCTCAAGCAATATTAAGTCAGATATTTACATTCAATTTGTGTGTGTGTGTGTGTGTGTGCGTGTGTGTGTGCGTGTTTCACAAAGAGAGAGAGAGACAAAGTGAGGAAGAGCAAAAATAACTGTTGATTTTAAACTGCTTCTCATGATTGAAATTAAAGTATTCTTCCCCTTTTACTGTAACACTTTGTAAAATGTAACATGAGCCACTCTAGAAATGACAGAAAAACATTCAGTGAGTACTGTATGCTCATGACTGTAACTTTTGATAGTTACAAAAAGTATTGCCAAGTTCTCGAATATTTTGGCCTCATAATAATTGAATTTAAAAAATCAATCAATCAATTTCCCTTTACCCTTTCCACATATTCTCTTCTTATTCCTCCAACCATTGTTAGTTGATCTTTGTTATCAATTTCTTACCCTTCATAAGGCACCAGTTCTAGCGATACAGAAAGTTGGACCGTGAAGTAGGACCCACGTTTGGCAGACCACTATATCAGTTCAACAAATCAAAATAAAGCACTTCCACAAATTGATGAACCAGAGATATACAGTGATGGTAAAACAGAAAGATAATGAATGATAAAAGCGTAGTGAGGCCTTATAATACTAAGGAATTTGTCTTCCCAAAGAATTTAATCTTTCTCTGGTTTTCAATTCTCACCAAGACATTTTCTCCTTTAGATGGATACTTCATACTCCCGCGTATCCTGTGGGCAAAGTAAGAAATCAATCACTAAAAATCAATTCAGACTCTTTAGTTTAGATAAAAACACATACATAAAAAATGTCTGAAGTTTAAATTAAAACAATTATGAATTACAGGAAAAGTATCAGCCTTTTACTTACCCCTGCCTCATAAAGAGGGTTGTTGAAGTCGGACTCGACTGTAATGGGACTGTAGGAGTGTGTGTGAGAGAGAGACTTCCAGAAGAGTGGCTTCCATTCTAGTCTGCATATGCTGTGAGTGAGAAAATACAATTACATATGACCACATGAATAAAGGCTACAGTTTATACATTATTATGAACTGAGGTGAAGAAAAGTAAAAGCATTCTTACAAATCATTTAAGGTTTAAAGGTGCAATTTAGGGACACCTGGTGGTTAGGTTGCAGATTGCAACCAAATGAAACTTCTCCCTAGGGCCAAGTGTGTAGGAGAACTACAGTGGCCTACACGAAAACATGAAAATGCAAATGACCCTATCGAGACCCAGTGTTTGGTTTGTCCATTCTGGGCTACTGGACCCGCTACTGCCTGTTCCATATGTAGATATAAACGGCTCATTCTAAGGTAACGAAAACGCAACAATTCTTATTTTCAGGTGACCATACACTAAAGACAACATACTTATTAATATGATAATCAATATCTGCCAATAGCTCCCCCTAAATGTTCCTTTAAATGTCATGTTGGTTACATAGGGTACTTACTTTGTATAGTACATGTAGATTCCTCCAATCAAGAGGATGACCAGGATGATTGGCAGAATTATTGCCAAAGCAATGTTCTCACTCAGGATCTGATGGGACGGCTCAAATGACTGGGACACTGTGAAACAGCAAAAAATAATCATCACAAAAAAAAAGCTTTTTCATCATAACGTTTCACCGTAATGTTTTTCTGCTCACAATTTATCTAAAATGTCAAACACATAAAAACGAGGCTGACAAATCTAGAGAAACTCTACACCTTAGTATTACACCAGTTGACACTTACATTATATAATTCCTATGTGTAAGGGCTTTACATATTATGTCGAGGACCTTTTTAACTTTATACACATCACAAATTGGAGAAGCATAAAGAAATCACCTTCTAATTTGTGATCATCCAAAAGATCATCATATGCCACTGTGTGAAATGAATAAAAGAGAAAGAGAAGTAAAATAAATGATTATATTAGGTCCTAAATGCACCTTCAGGATCTCATCAACACGTTTTCATTCAGATCTACGTTCTGTTACTAAAATAATGGCAGACGAGAGAATAATACCTTCATAATCAACAATCTGGACACAGGGAATTAGATGTTTCGTAGCATTTTCCTGTTCTGTTTCAGAAGGTCTAGAGACAATGAACCTTTACCTTTGCAAAAGGGCGGAGGGCTGTTCCACTGAGAGGGATGGCCGGGAACGCAGCTGATAATGACCTCGCCGATAAGTTCGTAGCCCTCATAACAGAAGAAACGCAGAGTTTCTCCTGCCTGGTAGCTGTGCTTGTACAAGGTTTGGTAACCATTGTCAGGGACACCAGGGTTTGGGCATGGGTCATATTTCACTGCTCAGAGCACACACACAGAGGACAGTCATGTATTTGCAGGTAATTTATAAACGGTCACCAGTAAGCATCATAAAGAAAAAAGACTCACAGACACACTTTGGGCTGCGGTCACTCCATTTGGGGGTGCCAGTGTCTCGTCCGTGGCAGGAGATTTGGCTGGGACCTTCCAGTTGATAACCCTGGTTACAGGAGAAACGAACGACTGTTCCAACTGCAAAACCTGTTTCGGGGCGCACTGAGCGTGCTCCGTTTACCACCTCTCCTGGGTCAGGACACTGCTGGACTGTGGGGGACCAAGTGGGACACGTAGGACAGCATTTAACGTGATCCTGCTATTAGACTTCATCAAATACAGTTAAATACGGGTGATGACGGCATTGTTTTCTGACAAAAGTTAAAAACCTGGATGAAACCTGAATGTGTTTTGTCGAAGAATAAAACTAACAACTTTTACCTTTGACACATGTAGGTGGACTGCTGCTCCAGGAGAGGTCCCACTGGCAAGTGATGATGTCAGAGCCACTGATGTCATACCCCGGTTGGCACTGATAGGTCAGCACACTGCCTCTCACGGGAGAGGAGTGGGACGAGCTGATCCAGCCAAAGTCAATTTGAGGGAGAGTGGGGCAAGTGTCGTTTGGCTCAACCTCTGCACCACACAGATAGAGAGCAGCGAAAGAAATCAAATAGGTTGTTCATGATCGCTTCTTCAATAACGGCAGCACTCACATGTCCCGAATGTCAACATTTTTCCCATTGAGCCATAAAAGCAGTGACTTCAGAAGTGTACTTACCACGATAATGAATGAGGAATCCCTGACTCAGGATGAAAGTGGAATCATCTGGATCGCTCTGAAACTGAATGGTGACTTCTGAGCCCCCAGACACAACCTGGAAACGCTCTTTGGACCCCAGGTATTGTACGATCACATGGGACATGAGATCACGTCCGTCAAAAATGGTCAGCACATCAGTGTGGCGGGTATTTAAACTTTAAGACGGAAAGATAAGAATAACAAAGGGAAATTTCACTTTAGACTGATTCCTTTTTTTCTTAAGATGAGCGGTCCACCCACCTGATGCATTTCAGTAGTCAGTAGTCAGTACAGGAGAGGCAGAGGGTTATGTAAAGCTGCAATACGTTATCGTCCTTTCTCTCATTTTTCACAAAGTAAACGTGCTAACAGACTTTAAATGAGAAGAATAAAATAGAATAACAAAACTGTATATA